TATTGCTTCGAAAGCGGCGGTTTAAAGTCTTACTTATTATTTTTCGAGCTATCGAAGCGAAAATAGTTCGAAGAGAATAAAAAAGGTTTAAAACGTTAGAAAATGAAGTTGTTTACAAGCTTAAACGGCAAAAAAAAGCCTTATTAAAAGATCCTTCAAATACAAGAAATGATGTAAAAGTGTATGTTGAACGGTAACACGAGAAGAAAGATAAGTAAAAAGATTTTTTTTTTTTTTGATGAACTTAAGGAGTAGCCTTCTACTTATACATTTAGAAAAGTCTTGACACGTGATAAATCTATCACTTGATCACATCCGACACTCTTATTCAAGACTTATTTAGATGAAAGAGACTCTTACTAAAGTTTATAAATAAAGCTTCTATTAAAAGTAGATCCGAAAAGAAAACAAAAAAGATATAAGAGTATTTTATAAGGAAAAACAGCAAAGGCCGAAAAACCTGACTACAAAAGAAAAAACCAAGAGACTAATTTAATTGCTCGCTTATTTTTTTTTTAAAGAAAAGAAGATCATCTTAATCTTTAGTTTTCGTCTTTTTACTTAACTGCACTTAAAAGAGCTTTTTCTCTTTAAATGAGTTATCTTTCTCTTTTGCTAACTGATCCGAAAAGTAATTAGCAGTAATATTAGCTAATAAAGAAAAGTGCTGCGTAATGCTCGTCGAATTTTCAGCGTTGTTTTTTATTCGAGAAATAAAAGATCTGCGTAATAAAGCTTAAAAAGATCGAGTCTTGACTTCTGATAAAGATTCTTAACGTAAGATTAAAGCAGTTTTTGTTTATATTTTCTGTCTTAAGTCAAACCAATTGATTTTCTTTACTCTTTTTTATTTAAGCTCGTTTTCCGATAATAGCTAGTTTTTCTAATTCTTATTGCTTAACGGATTACGTAGCTAAGTAGCGGTGTAAGTTACGCATTAATTGTTTAGATTGCTATTAATTAAGCCGAAAATCTAAAGATCTTTTTTATCAAGGCTTTTTTATTAGTTAAGATATATTTTAATAAATTCTTTTTGTAAAAAAAGAAGCGCGGACTTATAGACTTCGTTAAAATCGGTATTAAAATAATTGCAATTATAAATCGTAAGACTGAATTTCTTGCCGTTTTTCTATTGTTAAGTTGCTTAAGCGTAATCGTTCGGCTATAAGCTTTCCTTTTTCGGCTAATTATTAACTTATCTTTTCGTTTTTATAATAAATTCATTAAAACGAAAAGTAGCCGGTTTATTATTACGTTTCGTAAGTAGTTTAGCGAATTAAAAAAAAGTATAGTTATCTTTAATCTTAATATAATTATTAGCTTGCTTTTTGCAATCGATATAAAAGAATAGTCGAGAAAAAAGGATTTAATATAAAGTGCTAGTTTTGTTTATTAAGTAATACAATTAATAACACTCGAAATTCATCGTTAGCAAAGTCAAGTAACTCGTTATTTCGTCGGTAATAGCATTCGATTATAGTTTTTTTAAGTCCGGGATTATTTGCTAATCTGACTCGATAGCGTTGCCGACTTCGTCGGCGCCGATAAAAGAGCTTTATAAAAAAAGGTCGCAAAGCAAAAATTAAAGTTTTCGTTTTTTTTATTATAAATTATATTTCCGAAAGCAAGCGTCTTTTCGAGCTTTTTTAACGAATACTAAGCTACTAGCTTTAATGATTCTTGCACGAGCTTTAATACAAGTGTAAAGCTTTTTATCGATCTTGATTTCGAAAAAGAAAAGATTATCGCGGTCGGATCTAAAAGAGTTTAAGTCGCTAAGACGTGCAATTCGCTTAACGATCTTTTTTATTCGAAGCATAATTTAAAGAGAGTAAAGTAGTAAAGTGTGTAATTAAAAAAAGAAGTAAATTGTAATTAGTTTTTTATATTTTGTCGGTCGCAAAGATCTTAAAAGAAAAAGGATTTTTATAAGTTTATAAAAATATTAATTTAAGTTTGCGCTGCTACGGTTAAATCCTTTAAAACTTTAATAATTAAATAAAGTAATTAAAAAGAATCGATCTTTATCGTTTAAAACCACTTCTAGTCAAAAAAAGCTAAGTTGAATAGGTCGGTAATAAAAGTGCTTTAATTACGTAATATTAAATTTTCAGCACTTTAATCGCTTCTTTAAACTTTTTTAAACTGTCGCTTAGCTAATAGCTTAATTAAACCGTCGGCGATTTAATTTATAATAACGACTTATTTCAAATTTATTAAACTATTTCGTATAGCTTTTTAAATAAATATATAACGAAAGTGGATATGCTTAGGTCGATAATGAAATTAAGTGTTTTTAATTAATACGATCGCTTTTTAATTATCGCAATAAATCAAAACTAAAACCGTCTTTTCTTGCAAAAGTATTTCGATTAAAAAGCGCTAAAGCTAAATTGCTTTTTTAACGGCTTTCGTTTTAGCTATTAATTCGGATTCGCACGAAAATAAAGCAACGGTAAGTTATCGTTTCGAAAACTAATTGATTGCTTCGCTTTCGACGTTAAAAACAAAACTTCTTATAAATTTGCGTATTAATTAATAACTATTTTAATCCGCGTTAAAGAAACCGGTTAATTCGCTTAAGTCTTTTCGATAAACGAGCTCGTAACAAGTAGTTTCTTTTAAGTAGCGAACGATGCGTTTCGCTGCTTTTATATATTTTATAATTAGATTTAAAGCAAAACGATTAATTATAAAGATTAAGAAAGCAATATCGAGCTTAAAACTTAGCATAGCGTATATAAGCGAACCGATAAATCGTTAGTATTCGTAACGAAGCTCGAAAAAAGCTTGATACTTTAATAAAAGTAAAATTAAGATTTTAAAAGAAATCTTTATCGATATACCGTAAGTATTATAATCTTTTATTTCGAAGTCTTAAATAATCTTTTCGATACCAGGCAGAGGACCAAGTTCTTTGTAGTGTCACCAACGGGCTAATTATTCATTTATATATTATTAAAATTGTATTTTTATATAATTAATAATTAGCCTATTAATAATATTACTTTGAACTTGGTCCTCCGCCTGGTATTAAACTTATTAAATAAATCGTAATATAAAACCAAATATATATAAAAGTATTATTATAATAAATATCTGGGAATTTATAATTTATTATAAGGGAGAGACCCCCTTAAACCCCCCTTTACTATTCATATTTTTATTTTTAAACCGGGGAGACCCCGGACCCCCTTTATTACTCATAATTATATACTTAATTATATTATTATATTACGAAAAAATCAGAAGTTACAGAAGTTACAGAAGTTACAGAAGTTACAAAAGTTACAGAAGTTACAGAAGTTACAAAAGTTACAGAAGTTACAAAAGTTACAGAAGTTACAGAAGTTATAAAGGTTATAAAAGTTACAAAGGTTACAGAGGTTACAAAGGTTACAAAGGTTACAGAGGTTATAAAGGTTACAAAGGTTACAAAGGTCATAAAGGTTATAAAAGTTACAAAAGTTATAAAAGTTATAAAGGTTATAAAGGTTATAAAAGTTATAAAATTTATAAGAGTTATTAGGTTTAAGAATATCTATTAAATAGAGTTTAAACCCGAATCTTTAATTTAGCTGTTAAAAGTGCACTTAAAAAAGGAGGAAGAAAAGGAAGAAGAAGGTCTCGAGCAAGAGAAAAAAGTCTACGTTTCTTACGTAAGCTCTTTTTAAACGCAATACACTTCCGAAGACTTTACCGATAGCGAGCATACGTATCTTTAGAATTAGATATTTATGCTTTATCGGCCGAAGAGTATGCTTAACACTTTTAACGAGCAACGGTGCACGCATCGCAAAGCAAGTTTACTAACTTACTTTTATATATTTATATTAGCTCGAAGTTGCTAAAAGATAAAAGAAAGTAATAGGTTAATGCTTATAATTCGGTCTTTACCAGGGCAAAGGACCAAGTTCTTTGTAGTGTCACCAACGGGCTAATTACTCGATTTATAAGAATCTTAATATATTTAAATCAAAATCATAAAATAAAAAATAATAAAGATAAAATAAATATAAAAGTATTATTATACGAGAAATGATTTAATATTTTATTATAAAAAGAGACCTTTTGAAATC